TCACCTCTGAAAAGAGAGCAAATTTTGCAAACTCTCGACGAATTGAGAGAAAATTTTGAAAACTCTCCACGAATTGAGAGCGAAAAATCCCCAACGTAAAATCCACCCCATTTGTTAATATACCATGATTTTGAGAAGCATCCAACTCATGTTAAGCACTTAACATTACGGAAACACTCATTTTAATAGAACACGGTGGAAGAATTATTTATTGGATTCGGCTCTTGCACTCACTCAATCACGCTAACATTTTCTGAGAGCGGTATTTGTTTTTGTTGCGCGTTCTTTTGTGTTGGCAGACTATGGTTGTCTCCCTTGCACCGCCAAATGCGCATGGTTTTGCGCATTTTGAGCATTAACATATGAGTGTTAGTTCCTCTTAGTGTGAGTGAATGAGTTGTGTTTTTCTGGTTTGATTCTGAGTACTTTTCACCTAACAGTGCTGCTAGCTAGCATCTTTAAGTGTACCTTAACAGTAATGCACCCAATTTTTTTTTAATTTAAAATTTTTAAATTAAATTTATGTGACGGTAAAGTATACCTACAAGCAGCTTCGTAACCTCCGTAACTGATGAATTTTCAGACAATATAAGGATCTCATTAACGTGGATGTGAAAACCTATCAAATTAAGCAAAAGTTAATCTTATTTGGTATTTTTATTCTTGATTCTTGATCAAATTTTCTGCACAAAGTCTCTCTAACAATTCAACTATCTAAAAATAACTATCCCAGAAAATTGGACCAATCTCGTTTAACGACATATATTTTAATTTTTATTATACCGTAAATTATTAAGGTAAAGCCAGATGTGCGTCAGATGCCCCCGTGGAAAACAGGAAAGGTTTTAACATTTACTTAATTGGAAAATTAACTCTCAATATATGTATATCAGCAAGAAAAATATGTTTATCCGATTAGAGGTGGTTTTTCGGTTAAGGACATAATTTGGCTTATAGATATGAATGAATATATATTTTAAAATTCAGATCTGCACGTCTCATGTTTACCGCATATTTTTTTTTTATTATGAAACAATTTCCTGATAATATATGGAGCGTAGTTATTGCCTTGGGGGAGCAGTAATATTCTCGTATTGCGTGGGCTTAAAAGGTTAACAGGAATTGCATTGCGCACACGTACTCGTACCGCCTCCCTTTCGCTCACTCACCCGCCCACCAACACGTAGAATGCAAATTAATGAGTGGGATTAAAACATAACGGTAAATTGGGTTCAAATTAAATTATGTAATTAATAATACGACAAATAACAGGAAAAACAGCAACAACAAAAGGATTACACACAAATATTTGTAGTTCATTAAAATACAACTAACAGAAAAACAAAACAAAAATGGAAAAACGAATTTCCAATTAGATTCAAACTGCAGTTGGACTTCCCCTCCACTTTTCACCCATCGCTCTGAAGGTCATTCGGGGCCGAATTAGTTTAAAATTGCAGCAAATACCGAAAGCCAAAGGTTTTCCTTGGAACACATCAAATATGAACAAATAATGGAAGAGGTAGAACGGGTAGAATCGGTAGAAGGTGGTGATAGCAGGCTGAGGGGAAGAGCTCTTTTGGGGAAAGCTCAAATTAAAATGGCAACGAAAATTCAACAGAATGTGGAAATGGAGAAAAATAAATGCAATTATAGCTAGGATTGGGTAAAATTGTTGTACAATCTTCTGATTCGTATAATCAAAGAAATTTCCTGAATCTAGAAAATGCGAGTATATTCAGTAATTTAAATAGTTAATTAAAAAACATTCAAAAAGCCAAGGTAGGTTAAAACTATTTAAATGTAAGTGATTTCACGGGTTCTACGAAGGATTCTTTGTGAGTTTCTTTTGAGGGTTCTATGGGTGGATTTAAATGGGGCCACAATTTCAGAAATAATCAAAAATGTTTTACTTTTGCTGTTTCCGCTAAGATAATTTTTGTTTGAAACTTGAGGATTCCATGGAACGGCTAAGGAAAAATGTCTTTGCTTTTGACTATTAAATATTTAAGCTGAATAATATTACAAATTTCTCTAACGCACGTTTAACAAGAAATATATTTCCTAGTTTTTTGATGATTCTCCAAGGGAATTAACCTACTCTGAATTGCTTTTTGGTCTACACAACCTGAGGAAATCTTTGGCTTAGCTTGCATTTATTCAAGCACAAACAAAATGTAAAACAAGGAACTACAATAATTCAAATTATATAATAGAAAGAGAGAAAAGCTGAGAAAAAGCCGAAGCAAGTGGAAGGAATTTTCCACACATAAGCAGAATGCATAAATCCGATTAAAATAGTGCAAAAAGTGTTAAATAATGTGCAAATTCTTGCCCGAAACAGAGGAGGTTTTCGCTTCCACAAACCTTCCACAACCCTCCGAGCTATATGTACATACATACATAGATATATGTAAAAATTTATACTCGTGTCTATTTTTAAATAAATATTTTTGTATCTGTGTGTTGCAGGCGTAAAGGTATCTGAGCAACAAACACAAAAGTCAATTAATTGAATGAAAATAAAAGGAAGACCAAAAGTACAAAAGTTTTTGCATACAAAAACTGCTGGAAAAATCCGCAAAACTACTGTGTAAAAATACCATAAAAGGTTGGGAGGGACTTCGGTCAATGGTGGGCGTGGCATTCACAGAGAGAAAGAGTTGTGGCACTCGGCCTTTGTTCGTCGAGTGTTCGAGTGTGTGTTTGTAAAAACGATAAGTGCAAAACTTAATTAAATTTCATTTCAGGTGGAAAAAAAAATTCAGACAACAACAAAAATGTACCCTTGGAGAAGATGAACCTGATGCTCAGCAAGTGGACAAGCGCCGGCGAGTGGCACTGCCATCGCAGAAGCATCCTCATCCTGTTACAAGTGAAATGCATTAAGCCCCAGAGTTTTAATTAAATTATTGTTAATCTCATTTGCCTGCGTGTGGGTGTGTTATCCCTTTCATTCCCACCTGTACCCCCTGACCCACTCTGGCACTCTCTCACCTGATAAAAAATTAATTGCATTTCCATAACTGAAAACCGAAAAAAAAGAAAAATAAAATCCACGTGAAAAAAAATTTGACATAACCCACAAACACAAATAATTTTCTATGAGAGTGGCGCTTGCAGCGGAGCTGTGTGGGAGTAGCCTCATAGCTGTAAAGCGGAAAATTAGGTCGCTTAAATATTGAATGAACTCTAATTGTCATGAAATGTGGCTAAAATTTTCAATATAACCATCGATTGCCATCGATTTAGAGTGCTTCTTCGTCCTATCCTGCCGCCTCACCATCCCATACCCCACTCTGGGAAGGAAGTCCCTAAATCAACTACATCATCCACTCATTATCCATTGGGATTATGCAAATCGTGCTGTCTATCGGATCACATAATCAATTTAAATTTCAATTCATAAACATTATTGGAGATTGTTTTTTCTGGGTGGGAGAAAAGATGATGCCCAAGAGGAGAGAGATTGAAATTTTAGGATGAAGGTGGATAGAAAGTGAATAGAAGGGAAGTGCATAAGTTAGGGATAATCAGAATCAGGAAAAAGGAAGGAAATTACTTTTAGAACTAGAGTAATAGAAAGGGTTCAGAGAGGCTTAGAGGGCTTAGAGAAAATGGTAGAATGTTAAGAAATTAGCCAAGAACAGATGTAAAAATGTACAATTTAAATAAACGATTGAGGGCCAAATATAGAGGTGCAAAAAGATAGACGGGGGATGGAACGTAGAACAAGCAAAATTTTTTCGAATCGTGGTACAACATTTAAATAAGTTACCGAGGTGGAAACTAGGAGTTACAGCAGGTAATGATAGTACAGAAAAAGATGTATGCATATATTCCATAGACATATTCCAATGAAAATGGTTATAAATGTATCTTACATTTTCTCGAATTATAATTTGCTAACTATTTATTATTCTTTCTATTTAATTGTAATTATTATCTCCACCACACCACAAACTCACAGCCCACCTACAGAAATGCTGTTCGGTAGATGGCATTCACCTTGCATAAGCTTTAAGTTCTTGGGTTCTTAGCATTTAAATGTAAATCTATTTGAGTGAGCCTCTTTCAGTGGCTTAGTGGTTGCTAACTGAAATGGCCAAAGCCGTGCTCAGAGGCAGAGGCGGAGGCGGGCCAAGAAAGCGGCAAGTTCATTTAACTAATAGCCAACAATTTATAACTAGCTCGAGCTGCAGCTGCCCCCCCGTTCCCCGTGCTCCCTCCAAAGGAGGGGACTCAGACGACACACAACTAATGGTCTCTGACCCACCTGAACTTCGGTCTCCTTCGTCTCTTTGAAGCTGCTTTTCCTTTGCCTCAATGCGAATGCAGAGCCCAGACGAACCAGGAAAACTAATCCGCTTAATGTTTTGCCTATCTCTTAAAATATAATATGAGCAGGTCTGGCCAGGACTTGGCTCGGACAGGACAAGTTCCTTATGTCTGCTGTGTGTGCTGGAACTTAGTCAAAGTATTGATAAGCCAAAAAAGAAGTCCAAAAGCCAAAAGACCTCAACTTTTCGCCTTGACAACCCAAAAGGCAAACGCATACGCACGCAAAAAAATGGAAATAAAAGTGTTGAATAGTGCGTGAACAAAAGTTTTCAGAGGGATGAGTGGGGGCAAGGAACTTAAGAACAGTTAAATGGTCCCCACAGGCAACGACAGAGAAGGATGATAATGCGATAAGAAACGAAAGCAGAAACAGGAGCCTGCACAGGTCCTGGTACATGTGTGCGTCTACATGTGAGCCTGTTAATTAACTAAATTGAAGGCAAAACTTTTGTGTCTGTCAAAGAGAGAAAGCCACGACGCCACAAAAAGATGAAGTAGAGGTAGCTAGAGCAGATGAATTCCCCTAACAGATGATACAGATTCAGCAGGAAAAGCATAGACCTTGGAATGCCCTAATTGATTTCCAAGCAAACAATTGGTTATGGGAATATTTCTATCCTAGTTATTGGGTAGCTTGGGTAATTCCAAATGTTACTCACTTTGCAAGTACAAATTATTCGATGGATTGTGGGTCTGTGGGAAAGAAAGATGGAAAGGAAGATGGATATTAATAAAAAGCGATACAAAAAAGAAACGATTAAAGGATAATTGATTCAACATAGAAATAATATATGCCAGTGCATATTTTGTCTACAATTTGCTGTATCTATGCCTTAAGTCAGATACAATTACGAATCTTTGTCATCTTAGAGATCAGTGGAAATATAAATATATCATCTACATAGTAATGTCCATTAATCATTTCGGTAAACCACAACCTCTCCGCACTCCTTCCTCCAGGACCTTCCTTTATTCAATTCCAACATTTCCTTGATTGACTGCTCAGACCATAATTCGCTAAAATGTTTCACCACATGTTCACAGCAACTTCCAAGCACCAGCACCCCGAGCCCCCATTAATTTCCACACAGACTTTCCACACACGCACCTCCCATTAAAGCAACGGTTCCTCCTTCATCGTCCATCCTCCTACCTCATCCTTCTCCTCCCCGTCTATAAAGCTTTAAATGTGCCACACGCAAAGCGCGAGGCCGACAGTTGTGTTGCATACTTTGCTGCGCTCAGGATTCGCATGGAAAATAAGTGCTGGAGTGTGCGTGTGTGTGTGTGGCACGCTTCGTTTGTGTATTTAATTTGCCACAAAATTGTATACACACAACCGACAAAAAAATAAACTTGGCGAGCAGCAAGTTGAAAATGCTGTAAAAGACCAAAAAGGCAACTAAAAAGTTTTTAACCCCAAAAGCAGGAAAGTCAAAATACAAAAAAAAAAATACAAAAAAAGGAAAAACCGAAACCCCTAAAGAGGGATAATATCCGTTGTGGTTTTCGTTGTAGTTTCTACGAGTAAATATATTTGCAGCATTCGCATTTTGTTGCCTGGTTTATGCAAATTTGTTTGACTTGTCTTCACGCCCCACTGGCCTTGGACAGATTAAGAGTTCAATTAAAAACAAATATTTAAACACATTATTTGATATCAATTTATATACATTTTTCTGCACAACAAAAACTGAACTGATAAATGACAGATGGACAGAGAGAATATCCATGGAAAATGTGATAGAAAATTCATTTTGAAATCAATGGAATAAATAATAAATTTCAGTATAATTAAAGGTGTTTTTAATTGAAATTAAGTAAGAAACGATTGCTACGAGTACCATTAGAAAAGGTTGGTAGAATTAATAATATGTTAGATATCTAATGTCGGAAAGTATACATTATAAATGCATCTTTTGTCCATACAGAACATTAATTTTGAACCAATTGAAATGCACCTACAGCTGTCCCTATTCTTTGTCTACTGATTTCCTACACACTTCATAGTCTTCCCAGTGAATTGATCATATTTTGGCATGCCTTAGCAGCTTGTAGACATGCCTACATTTCACTGCAGTCAATCGTATTCAAAATTCTTTCATGAGAAAAGATTTCTCTGTTGAATTTTTGTGCCTACGCCTTTTGGCAATCAATTGTGAGGTCAGCTCATGAATATTTATAAATCAGTTTTATATGTGGCAAAAACCAGAATCAACCCGCCCACCCACACCCCGTGCCCGTGCCCGTGCTGCCACCATTCTGATGGTTATCCCCCTGATAGAAAGGAACCTCAAAAGCAAATTCAATTAACCCTACAGACCGTAGAGAGCATCAGCAAATACACTCAACCAATACAAATACCAGGACGAGACAGACAGAAACCAAATGCTTGCACACCTCCCTTTTGCCACTGTGCCCTTAACCCTTGTTCGTGCTCCTGCAACTCCATTCTGGGCCTCAACTGGACTAAGGCACGCGCCGAGCACTACAAATCCGCTTCAACAGACAAAAATGGAGATAGAAGTGGAGCTGGAGCAGGAGCAGGAGTAGGAGCTGGAGCTGGAGAAATGGTTGATGGTGGGAGATGAGTAGAGCAAAGGATAGAAAAGGGACAGCAACCACAAGGACACAAAGTAACTAATTATCTCGCCTTAACCCCTTGCCGACAGCTTCCTGCTGTGTTTGCTTAGCCCTCGCCGCATCCTCAGCATCCGTTTTGTGGTGGAAAATTCGCATGGACCATCGCACGTGGCTGGGAAAACGATCCAAAACAAAAAACTAGTCAAATTGAATGCAAACTCGATAGATTTTTCACATTTGAGTGGACAATGGGCAGGGGCACCCGCGGGTGGCAAGCGGTAGATAGCCACAAGGGGTAGGAACAAAGCAAAAAACTTTAAATGAAATGTGTCAAACGCCGACACATGCCGCGCGGAAAAGCGTTTTGGGCGAGGGGGAGTCGGTAGGGTGGGTGTTAGACGGTTTGCTGCAGGACATGTCAGATCTTGATTTGCGGAAGGGAAGAGAGAGGTGCGGGTGCTATTCCCAACAATCGATGGATAAATTAATATTTATCGATAACAAACAAAGAACTTTCAGCCCTGGATATTCCACTTCCACTTCGACACACAAAGTCAAACAAGTCTCCCAAAATTGGGGAGCTTTCATCTAGTCTGCATCATCTTCCTGCCGGGCTATACGTACAAGTATGTACATATGTATACTCAAACACAGGCGAGACTTCCATCTCTTCCAAGCGATGGATGGCTAGATGGGATGCCAGCCATTATTTGGACAGCACTCGCAACGGAACGGAACGAAACGACGCACACGAAATGAACATGGCCAACTACTGTTACGGCGGGGGATTTTGCTGGGGCTTATGAGTGTGTGTGTGGGGGATTCCCAGGATAGCAAATGGCACGAGCCATTGAGCTAACGATCAGAATTGTATCTCGCACGCGTTTTTTTGTATCTAAAGCTTATACACGGCCACTGAGCGAAGCGATTGAAGCAACAGCAGCAGCAGAATGTCCAAAGGAAGCCGTTTTCTGGGTCCATTTCTCGCGGTGTACACTGCCGTGCACACTTGGACAATCGAAGCTTGAAATCGTCCCGAACGTTTAACGTCAAATAAAAACCAAGTAAATAATTTAGCAGCAGTGCCAGGAGAAGTGCTCCTCCGACTAGAACAACTTTAGCGTATTTATTTGCAGTTTTCGCATTTTAAGCCGATAAAAGCGGGACGGGGGAGAACAGTGATGCCAGGCACTGTGTGAGTATAGAGATTGTCGGAGGAGGTGTGGGGGTGGGGCGTGTGGCAGAGTACAAAATGACAAGCGTTTGACACAAGCACCGGAATATCCGTCAGTGTGGCGACGATGCGGACGACGCGGTGTCCGGACCAAAAGCACAAGCACAAGCACGAGAATGAGAAGGCAAAAGGGAGTGCAAAGCAGAGCCAGGAGGACTACGATGCTGATGATGGTGATGGACAAGTGCGAGTACTATGAGAGGTAGGGTAGGGTAGTGAGTAGAGGGGACTGTGTGTCCTGCGTGTGCAGTGTTTGCTGGGCGTGTTACAGTGACATCCATAATACAAAAGGATGCTCCAAACTGGGCGAGCATCATTTCCCGATGCCATTTTTAGTTGTGTCTCTTTCGCTGTCGCTGCTCCGTCTCCGGAATGTCTCTCTCTCTCTCGCTCGCTATCTTTCTCTCTGTGTGTCAACTGTTCTAATAGTTCTCGCTCGAGTGTATCCTGGCTCTGCGAATGGGTGTGTGATTTACGCTGTTACGCTGATTGCAAGGATAATGCCAAAGTACTCTCTTCTCTCGCTCACAGGAAGCCTCCGCTTTTCTCCCCTTCTCTCTGTCTCTCTCTCTCTCTCTGCGCACCGCAGGAAGTCTTCGCTGTGGAGCAAGAAGGTCCCTGCCAAAGCGGATGTTAACTTAAAGGTATTAAGAAATTGAATCAAAGTGGAAATATTATAAGAAAAAATACTTACGAGCAGATAAGAGGAATGGAAGAAGCAATGGCTGGTTGGCTGCATGGCAGGAAGTGGAAGTGGAAGTGGGCAGGAGTGGCGGTTGCTGCAGTTGCAGTTGCCGTTGCCGTTGTCTAAGTGCCGCTCGACTCTGAACTATGACGTTGGCTTTTAGTGTATTAAGAAAATGTCAAAGGAGCTGGCAGCTCAAGTCAGAGTCGAATTCGAAGGCGAAGCTGCAGCAGAAGCTCCGGAGCTGGAGCCGGAGCAGGTGCCAGCAAATGGATGGTTCCGGGGGGGTAGGGAAACTAATACTCGTACATCTCGTACATAATAATGCAATTTCTACCAGGAACGACAACGACAATGAACAAGTCGGATTCATTTGGCTTAAACCGAATGCCAGAGCAGAATTGAAAGTCTCACAGAAAAAAAAGGCAGGACACGGCGAAAGAAAGTCGGTACACTATATGGCAGGAAAGCTGCTCTATACGGCCATTATAATTTCCAGTAATTATGTATGTATATTCGAGCCACTCTGGCACTCCATAAACGGAATAAACAAATGGAGCAAAAGGGGAATCGACCCAGGACAGTTCCATAAACCCAGCATAACAATTACGGCCATGTTTGTGCACACATAAATGTTGTATAAGCCAGGTATCCCTTGGAGTCCGACCGGGAATCTCATTGTGCACACATACATAAATACATACATACATACATATGTACATACTCGCCCACCTGGCAGTCCCAAGTGCCTGGCTGGCCTGCACTTAATCTCCATTTGATGCCTATTTTTATTATAGATTTTCATATGCATTTTTATTCTGGCCATTTATTACAGCCTCCCCCGGTTCCGGCCCGGCGCGTCCCTCCTTGTCCTGTATCCCGTAGCCCGTATCCCGTTTCTCCATTCACCATTCGCCATTCTCCATAATCGTATATGCCATAAGCGTATTAACGCAATTCAATTTTGGGTCCTGGGTCCTGTGTGCGGCTGCCAAAAACAACGACAAGGACCAAAAATAACGGCAGGCGCCAGGGTGAAACAATGTAGATGGTGGCGCCACCTGGGCACAAGCCCAGCGCTAGACAGAGATGCCTATATGGTTAGCCATAGGTGGGTGCTGATTGTTCGACTGTTTGATGCCCTCTCCACTCAACATTCTATACAAAATCAGGGATATTTTTTTTAATATA